ATGAATGAAAAGGTCATATCTGTTCTAACAAGAGCGCAAAGAAAGCGAATAAATAAAAAAAATGTGCAAGATAAGAGTGACAACCCTACGGCGGATAAGGTTACCACCAACGATTGGACTGATCACCCAAAAGTCGTGGGAACACTTAAACAACCGAAGGATTGCACTGAATTATTATTTGTAGACGAAAAAGAATGGAAAAAGATAGACAGAGTGAAAGAAAAGTTCTATTCTAACTCTAAGTTATTTTGTTTTGTCTCAGCAAAGTCAACAATTTATGTAAATCCTTCTTTCCGATCATATTGTGCACGAGATGCCTTTGTGAGGGAGTTGGATTGCTTTTGTAATAAGCGAAAGATAGATCGTCTGTATATTATACAAAATAATAATAACAATATATTAATTAAGGAGTTAACTCGTATTATAAATGAGACACCAAATAGGTCCGGACCGCGAATATTAATTTTAAATGGTGTCCATAAAGTCGACGATCGTGAGACAAAACGCATAATATTAAACGACTATCATTTATTGCCAACTAGTGGTCACGCCGGTATAAAGCGAATGATAAACAATATAAAGAAAAGATTTTTTTGGCCCGGGTTAGAGAAGAATGTGACTAATTACGTAAACCAATGTGACAGGTGTTTGCGATATAAGCACTTAAATAAGCATATAAAAGAACCAATGGTTATAACCGATACGGGATATTCTGCTTTTGATAGAATTTATTTAGATTTAGTAGGGCCCTTATGTAAAGATAGCGATAGTAATGTTTATATACTCACACTACAGTGTGATTTAAGTAAGTATGTTGAAGCCTATCCGCTTAAACATAAGGATACCATTTCGGTGGCATCCTCTTTTATCAATAATTTTATTTTGAGATATGGTATTCCTCGACAAATAATATCTGACCAAGGGACTGAATTTGTTTCAACCGTCATGAAAGATGTGTGCCGTATTCTCAATATTCAACAGGTAACGTCAACAGCATATCATCACCAATCCATAGGTTCCTTAGAAAACAGCCACAAAAATCTGATGTCATTTCTAAGAATTCAAACGGGTAATGAACCACATAACTGGAGCACTTGGTTACCGTATTGGTGTTTTGGTTATAATAACACTGTACACACGGAAACCAAGTATACTCCATATGAGCTTGTTTTTGGGAAGCTTTGCCGTTTGCCAACTAATTTAACTTTAGATATAGACCCCTTATATAACCCATATGATTATCCACAACAACTTAGATATAGACTTCAAAAATCGCAATATGATGCAAGAAATAATTTAATTTTAAGCAAACAAAGTAGGAAAACTAAATATGATTACTATACCAATCCAATTAAATATAATGTCGGTGATATGATACTCCTTAAGAATGAACAATGTGTAAACAAATTTGATCCTCTTTATATAGGACCATTTAAGGTTATCGAAGATTGTGAACCAAATGTAACAATAGATTACAAAGGTAAACATAAGTCTATACATAAAAATCGCACTAGACCATATACATAAATCAATAAAATTGTTATTATTACTATAAATACAAATAAAATTATTTAAAAATTACTGTGTTTACGATTTTTTTTTATTATGATATAAGTATGTTACAGTATAAGAATTTTAATATTTAAAAAAAAAAGTGTACACCTTTTTTAATTTTTTATACACCAAGTTATGTTACATAAAAAAATATTTTTGTGAATGATTTTTTTTTCTTTTTTGCCGATGGGCGTGTAGTGTGTGCTTATATATATTTGTGTAGGATATAATAAGAGAGGATTAGTATTAAACCTACAGTCTAGACTACTGGACGTTTTATTTATTTCCCGAACCGCCCAACACTACAAAATAATCGAATCATTAATTTTTTTAATGTATTTTGTTTAGTTAAATTTTTATTTTTAAAATTCCTTAAATTATATGAATCATGAATAAAATAAGTTCATTTTTTTTACTTTGTCAACGTAAAGGACAATGGAGAACTCCCAAATAAATTTTAGTTGACTTTTTTTCTTGTGTCTACAAATGCAAAATATGTAAAAATATAGTTTAAAATCGTAACCATTTTTTTTCTTAGGTCATACTACTGCAAGTCGTGAATTAGAGATATTCCAATTTAAACAAAACACATATCGGACTGGGCTGTATGGTATAAAACTACACTATGATTACACAAACAGACAGACAAAAATTCTAAAAACCACCAATTTGGCTTCAGTTTCACTTTATTTAGTTACTTGGACGTGTTTTTTACAAGAATATATTAGAATTACAGACACGACTTTTCTACAGATTCATTATATGTTTAGATAAGATTACATATTATATTATGTCATTTTATACCAAAATGTAAATTAAATACGGTATAGCAACACCACCTAGGAGTAAATTACTCGGAAACGATATTCCTGTAATTTGGACACAGTGAAAAGAGGGTTAGTTAGTACATTTGTACTGCAATAAATGTACCAACAGCCTTTTATATCGAAGAAAACTACTCTTACGGATTTTATCGCGTTTAATTCTTCTTATTTTTAATTTCCGACGTTTCGGGTGCTTTGCAGACTGAGGTGATTGACGAGCCGATGTCAGAGTTAACCCGGCGTACCTTCAGCTTTTTAATTATTACTTAGGTCCTATCTACGCAGAATGAATTTACTGAAATCTTGAAGTTTTGTAATGGTATGCTTGGATTTGGTTTTAATATCATTAATTACAGGATCTGAAGCGGGTGGTAATACCCAGCCTCCTTTTCTATTGAAATTAGGATGTTTTTTAATTTCGATAGCCTCACGTTTCATCCTTGGTAGGAATCGATGTTCTTTAGCAATGATTTATTGTCTTTCAAATTTGATGTAACTGCGGGTGCCGTCTAGAATATAATCACAAACAGTAGACTTTTTTATAGGTTAAGGGTGACAAACGAGCACACAGTCTACCTGATAGTAAGTGGATGCTGTGACCCATAGACATCTACATTTAACCTCGCTTAAGAATCAAAATGCAGATGCGTTGTCATTCTTGTGGACTAAAATTGATGCGTCGATTCCAGTAAAACGGGTTTCCGATTCTCTACACCCATCATACCAAACACAGCAGCATTAAGCTGCTATTTTACGCTGGTATCCTGTGAGAGTGTGGTCCTTCCCCGGTCGAGCCGACCCATTCGTGCTACAACCATAATACAGCTGCAGTGTGGCTCTACCACGTAAAAAACTTCCCGCAGCGTTGGTATTTCACCATGGATCAGCACCCAAAGTACTCGAAACTCGAAATTAAAATAAATAGAATTAAACCCGACAAAATACGTAAATATAGTTTTCTTCAATGTGTAGTGTTCGCGTAAATATAAGAAAGCCTTTTATAATTTAAGAATTTTAGGAAGGGATAATTATTGTTTGAGGAAGTAAAAAAGGAATAAATATCGAAATCGCAAGAAGCAATTCAAAGATCTCTATGAATACTATTAGATCGGCGCTATGGTTCTGATACACTGCGCATTAATTTATGGTCAATTCTCCATAACTTCTTTAGTCGACCGGGAGCGGGCAAATAGATTAGATCATTGTTTTGCAAGACGCGAACGCTGTTTTCGACAATCTAACACTTTTTACACTTTAACGATTTTGTTACTAAGAAAACGCTTGCTATTATTTATTTATGTGCGTACTTTGTCAACGTGTATAGAAGTATTTCAGTTATGTATGTAAATTTGTTTCGTATTTGCCTGAAAACAATAACGTGCCGTTTTCCTACCAACAGCTGTGACACAGTTTTTATTCTGAATTGTCGGTCTAGTAATAAGTAATAATAAAGGATTATTTTTCAAAGAGTAGCCAAAATTTTGAACTAAGTTCAAATATATAAATAATGATACACATTAATAGCAGTTTTTGAAAAAGAGTAATTAAGGATTTTATTTTTATTTTAAATTATCCCAAATTGAATGTGATTTATGGGCAACAATATTTTTAACTACCGATCAAACGCACCCTTACGAATGTGCGCGTGCGCAGTAAAATCAGTTAAAACAATGCATTACCACGAATTTTGAAATTAAAAGACAAAAAGGACATTATGTTTGAGATTTTAATTTTTCTTCACCATTTGCCTATATTATTCTTTCTGAACCTTCTCTGCAAATTTGGCCGGTTATTGCAAAATAACCATATATAATGAATGTCCTCCACTTTATATACAAGCCGCGCCAATATTTTTCGGGAAAACGTCGCCAAGTACTGGAGCATATTTGTGTCTGTAGCCGAAACTTTGTCCAAATAAGTCTCGGACTAGGGGCGACTAAATCTAGTCCAGTTCAACCCCCAAGAAACACAAGTTTGCGCGTTTACCGCTAAAAAGAACCTCACAGCACAGGGCGCCCAGCAGCCCGCACGCAAACACGCAGCGGTCGTGATGCACGGCGAGGCGGCGAAGCGCGCACAGTGCCGCCAGCGCGCCCGATACTCTCAGTGCACGCTCCTGCACCGGCTCACCTGCAGCATGCAGCGGTCGAGGTGCGCAGCGAGTCCCGCGCGCAGGCGGGCGGCGAGCGCGGGCGCCAAGCGCACGGCGACAGCGGCGAGGCGCGCGCACAGCGCTGCCAGCGGCTCGCAAAGCGCTCCCGACACGCTCAGCGCACGTTCCTGCACCGGCTCACCTGCAGCATGCAGCGGTCGAGGTGCGCAGCGAAGCGCGCGCGCATGCGGGCGGCGAGCGCGGGCGCCAAGCGCACGGCGGCAGCGGCGAGGCGCGCGCACAGCGCCGCCAGCGGCCCGCACAGCGCTCCCGACACGCTCAGCGTACGCTCCTGCACCGGCTTACCTGCAGCATGCAGCGGTCGAGGTGCGCAGCGAGGCGCGCGCGCAGGCGGGCGGCGAGCGCGGGCGCCAAGCGCACGGCGGCAGCGGCAAGGCGCGCGCACAGCGCTGCCAGCGGCCCGCACAGCGCTCCCGACACGCTCAGCGCACGCTCCTGCACCGGCTCACCTGCAGCATGCAGCGGTCGAGGTGCGCAGCGAGGCGCGCGCGCAGCCGGGCGGCGAGCGCGGGCGCCAAGCGCGCGGCGGCAGCGGCGAGGCGCGCGCACAGCGCCGCCAGCGGCCCGCACAGCGCGCCCGACACACTCAGCGCACGCTCCTCCACCGTTAGCATCGCATGCCATCTGATACAACACACGCCACCATTTATTTTTAATTTAAATAATAGCGCCCCCATTTCAGAGAGCGGACGCAACGTGAGCCCGAGTCACGTCATCGCTCGCTTCGCTCCGCAATAGTCAAATCCGCAGTATAGTCATAATTATTATTATAGCCCCTCACAGGTCCACTGCTGAACATAGGCCTCTCGCAAGGTACGGTACTAACTTCTATCTAAACTTTCTTATCAGGTCGTCACTCCATCTAGTGAAGGGACGCCCTACACTTACTTACTGCTTACTTATTACTTACTACCCGACCTTGCCTTCGTTTGTCACCCTTAACCTAAAAAAAAAACATTCGTCTCGTTGTTGTCGCAAGAGACGTCGTCACTCCAACTTTCGTTTACCTGTACGAAGATGCCTCTCGAAAACTTTTCTTCCTAAACAGTTTTCGGTTCTTCGAGCTATGTGGCCGGCCCATTGCCGTCGACTGTCGATGACGGGGGGAACACACCGCCGTCCATCCCGCGATGTGAGTGCTCCATGCCAGAGGTGCGGTTTGCACAGCGCTCGGTTCGCAAGGCACTCTTCTCCCTGGACGTCAGTAAGTCGAGTGGGCCTGATGGAGTCCCTCCCATTGTGCTGAAGACGTGTGCTTTGGAGTTGGCACTGGTTTTAACGCGTCTTTTCCGGTACTCCTACTCCAAAAGCGTAGTCCCGAATTCTTGGAAGACAGCTTTGGTCCACCCGATCCCTAAAAAAGTCGACCGCTCAGACCCGTCCAACTACAGGCCCATCGCCATCTCCTTGTTCTCGAAAATAATGGAGTCTATTGTAAACTGCCAGCTCATGAGGTACCTTGAGGATCACCAGCTGATCAGTGACCGCCAATACGGTTTCCGTCGTGGTCGATCAGCTGATCTTGTGGTCTACCTTACTCATAGATGGGCGGAGGCAGTAGAGTCCAAGGGGCCTCCCCCTCACCCATTGGCCATTAGTTTGGACATGGCGAAGGCCCTCGATCGGGTCTAGCACAATGCGCTTTTTTCGATTCTCCCATCCTATGGGCTTCTCGAGAAATTGTGAGATTGGATCACTAGCTTTCTTGCTAATCGGAGCATTAAGGTCGTAGTGTAGGTTGTGGTGCATGTTCTGATTACAAGCATATTAACGCTGGTGTTCCACAAGGCTACGTGGTATCACCAACGCAGTTATCATGTTATCAATGATATGTTGCAAACTGTTAACAGTCATTGCTATGCAGATGACAGCACCGGTGACGCCTTATACACCGGCCGTGCCAATATTTCTCGGGAAATCGTCGCCGAGTACCTGGACAAACTTGTGTCTGAAGTCGAGTGTTTGCTTAACAAAGTCTCGGATTGGGGGCGACTAAATAAAGTCCAATTCAATCCTCAGAAGACACAAGTCTACGCGTTAACCGCCAAAAAGAACCCCTTTGTCGTTTCTCCTCAGTTTTAAGGCACTGCCCTTGCTGCCTCAGCTAGCATCAGAATCCTCTTCGTCGACATATCGAACAGTGTGCAGTTTTTTGGTCACTTGGAGGGGAAGGCTAAATTGGTCTCTAAAAAGCTTGGCGTGCTCAGCAGAGCGAGACAGTATTTCATGCCGGCACAGCGCTTGCAACATTACAAAGCGCAGGTTTGGCCCCACATGGAATACTGTTCCCATCTCCGGGCCGGGGCTCCCCAGCGCCAGCTCCTTCCACTTCACCGCATCCAACGCAGAGCGATTCGAATCGTCGACGACCGAGTGCTTTCTGATCGGCTCGATTCACTGGCGCTGCGTAGAGATGTTGCATCCCTTTGAGTTTTCTATCGTATCTACCATGAGGAGTGTTCTGAGGAATTGTTCGGATTAGTTTTTATTTTCAATTGCAAGAAATTGTTATTTAGAAACGAGACAATTTTCTTTGATATTCTTTGATAAAATACGAATAAAGTGGTCCCATGACTTTTTACGATAAAGTTAATGTTTTCGGAATTATGAACTTTGAAAGGTTTGAATCATCCCAAATTCGGATAAGTACCTACTTTGGACCCATTAAAATACATAAGGAGCGGAGCGAGCGGCGCAAGAAAACGATTTTTTGGAATCTATCTCCTCCGTAACCCGTAGGCTAATTTACATAATTTTTTCGGCAATAATTGTAGCTCAACGCAGAGTGATTTGTAAACAATAAAAATCTGAATTTGAATTTTTTCTTCTTTTACTATCTAATCAATTCGCTAATTAATTGGATAAATTAGCGAATTGATTATGATGATCTCATTAATTTGAATTGATTATACGAGCTGATTAATTTATATTTGCGCATTGTCACACCATTTGATATTTAGTTGAAATAAAGATGGTTATGACTTTAGATTTTTACTCCGCTCCGTTTATAATGCCAGTAAAAGGTTTTACCTTTGCATCTGCATCAACCCTAGTATTCTTTGATGAAATATAAAAAATACCTACGATTTTTTATGATAAAGTTAAGAGTCATGAATTTTTAAATGTTTGAAAAATCCAAATCGCAATTACATAAAGATCGTTTCAAAAATATTTATACATTTATGAAACTTTTACTAAAGCTCGATTTTACGGCACGTTAAGTATTTTATAAGCGTTAACTATTTAACTACCAGTTATTGTGTGTAAAACTAAACAGACAATTTATTTGCATGTAAATATATTTACAAAAATATTTATATACATTTTTTGAAAAATCTGTGATATTATATCTTTTGAATTTTGTCCCTTAGGTATATTTTTTAGCTTTAAATATTATTATGTCTGTGGTTTTGAAAAGAATATGTCAGTCATCTTGGATTTCAAAATTAGCATTATATCCGAACTACGTATTCTCGTTTTATTCGAAAACGATACCGATAATTTATAGTTTTAAAAAAAAAATGTTCTTTGTCTTGTATTTCAAAATTAATATTGTATACGAAATACAAATCCTAATAATAAAGTTACTCAAAAATTATACCCATAATGTGAAATTTTAAAAATAAAATATCCACTCTGTTGGATTTTAAAATTTTCATATTGAAATATTACATATATTATTATATATTATGCCAGAATGGAAATTAAATGCAAAATAGGAATACCACCTAGGAAAAAATATCCCAGTACTTTGCTTACGGACAGCCTTTTATATTGAAGAAAACTACTCTTACGGATTTTATGGCGTCTAATTCTACTTATTTTTAATTCGGGTGCTTTGCAGCACCCATGGCCACGGCGGACTGAGGAGACGATGTACCGATGTCAGTGTTAACCCGGAGTACCTTCAGCTTTTTAATTATTACTTTTGGTTCTATCTACGCACAATGAACTTACGCGACTCTATATCAGCATTAAGACTCAGATCTGGACAAATTCTACGCTATCGTTTTTATACTTGATGAGAAAAACTACTTCACCAAATTGTTTAACTTGCTATGTTATCGATAATGTTTATCAAGTTTTGATAGAATGTGCACAGAACTCCAGAGAAAGTAAAAATTGTAATTTACATTTATCATTGATTGACAGTACAAATAGTATTTTACGAGACTCATATCAGACCCGTTATCAAATGATGCCAAAAACTTTATTTGTCAGTAAATAAGACAAACGGTGAAACGGTGAATCTCACCATCATCCTTCACAGTTAGCTACCGTGGGCAAATCACAAAGATTTACCCACGGTTTTGATTTTATCAGAGAGCACGAGGAATCTATGACAGCAAACACCTGGCTGCCGAGCTTCAACAAGTCAGCAGTCAGAAGTCAAGCAGGTTCTGCAAGACAAGCTTCAGGTCCCGCGCCTACGTCACAGTGACCGAGTGAAGCCGGCCACAGTCGAGCGTGTGCCTGCTATACTACCATATGTCAGAGGTGTCACAGACAAGACTGGCTAAATCTTGAAGCGAGCTTCTATTAGAACATTCTACAAGCCGCCGAAGAAGATTAGTCAGTTCTTACCATATGTCAAGTGTCATATTCCTCTACAAGATGCAGGAGTGTATAAGCCTGATTGTGAATGTGGTCTCTTTTATACAGGACAAACAAAAAGATCAATTAGCGTAAAAGTACATATAGCTGATGTGAAGCATCAACGTTCCGGGAAGTCTGCAGTTTGTGATCATATCCTAGACGGCCCCAACCATTACATCAGATTTGATAGACCACAAATCCCCGCGAAAGGACATCGATTCCTACCAAGGATGATAGGTGAGGCTATTGAAATTAAAAAACATCCCAATTTCAATAGAAAAACATCCAAATTTCAATAGAGAAGATGGTTGGGTGCTACCATCTGCTTGGGATCCTATAATTAACAAAATTAAACCCAAACCCAAGCATACCACTGCAAGACTTCATGATACTATAAGCTCGTTTTGCGTAAATCGGACCAAAAATTAATATTAAAAAAACTGAAGGTGGAAGGCGGACTAACTATGACATTGGGACGTCAAACATCTCAGTCCCCCCCGTGACCATGGGTGCTGTAAAGCACCCGAAACGTCGGGATAATAATAAAAATAAATTAAAGTAATTAAACGCGATAAAATCCGTAAATAATAGTTTTATTCAATGTGTAGTGTTCGCGTAAATTTAAGAAATCATTAAGAGATTAAATGATTAGTAAGTAATTAAAACGCCCTGATAGTTACAACAAAAAATTTTAATTTTTTGTTGTAACTATCAGGTCATAATTATATCAGCGACAAAGCCCGGCGTGCTAGGCGTGACAGCTATTACGAGTTTTTTTTTAATTTTCTATTCCGTTCTTAGAATGCTGCTACACATCTCCTTGTTTTTTTAATAGGATAAGAGTGACAAACGAGCACACAGTTCACCTGATGGTAAGTGGATGCTGTGGCCCATAGACATCTACATTTAACCTCAATTAAGAATCAAAATGCAGATGCGTTGTCACCCTTGAGGACTAAGATGGAATGCCTCGATTCCAGTAAAACGGGTCTCCAGTTTTCTACTCTTACCATAGGAAACACAGCAGCATTAAGCTGCTATTTTAAGCTGGTATTCTGTGAAAGCGTCGTACTACCCCAGTCGAGCCGACCCATTCGAGCTACAATCATAATAACTGCAGTTTGGCTCTACCACGTACGTCTTTCCCTCTGTTGCCTCTTACGATACACACGGGATGATATTGGGTATTAGATATTCTTACACCGCCACTACACGCTCGCAAGTTTTATATAATTTAATCTTAAATCAGTATTCCGAAAGGACCGTAGGACGGATCCTTCAAATATTATAATAAATTGTAACTATAAATTGTAAAAAGTTAATCATGATCATGTATAAAATGATCATGATTAACTAATGTAATATTTTCTATACGTGGTAGAGCCATGCTGCAGTTATATTAGTAGTATAGTTGTAGCACGAATGGGTCGGCTCGACCGGGGAAGGGCCACGCTCTCACAGAATACCAGCGTAAAATAGTAGCTTAATGCTGCTGTGTTTCATATGGTGAGTGTAGAGAACCGGAGACCCTTTTTACTGGAAACGAAGCATTCCATGTTAGTCCTCACGGGTGACAACACATCTGCATTTTAATTCGTAATCGTGGATAGATTGTAGATGTGTATGGGCCGCAGCAACCACTTACCATCAGGTGGACTGTGTACTCGTTTGTCACCCTATCCTATAAAAAATGTATAAGATGATGATGATGATACCAACAATGAAAACAACTCACTTCTGTTTCTTATAATCGCGTATGGTGGCCTTGAACTCGAGCAGTATGTGATCAGCGAGTGCGGAGAGGCCAGAATCACGTAGATGCGCCAGCAGCGCCGGCGCCTCCGCAAACACACCAGCTTCCTCCTCCTGCCCGGACTCGCGGGCAAGCGGCTCCGTCACTGCCAAGTTCGCGATGGGAGCCGCCTGGTTATCAAATTGTTGGAAGAGGTGAATAAAAACTAATACATAAACACTCACGCCTTTCACCCAGAGGGGTAGGCAGAGACTACAGACTTCCATTTAGCACGATCCTGACATACCTCTCTCGCCTCTTCCACATCCATATACCTACGCATACATGCTCGTCGGTTAAGGGTACTCTTAATTTGGCCCATTTTTAGTATATCGCCAATTTAGTCGACAAACTTCCGCCTAGGACGTCCCTTTTCGACTCTTCCATTCACCGAAAATACAATCTCTCATTTTATCTTGTGTATGTGATATCTAACTATTTCAAAAAGTAAAGTAAAAAAGTAAAATACCTAATATCTTAACTCAAACTAGCTGAGTTCTTCCTCGCATGAGGAACTCATGGCCGTATGAGCTCAAAGTCATAATAAAATTAACTGACATAGCCCAGCGGATCAGTAAGCTGAAGAAAAACCGATAACTAATAAGAACCGGTAAGAAAGGTTTAGGCTTATTTAAAGCCTTAAGAACATCAATATCTGCTAACCGTTCAAAATGGCAGACCTCTACGGTAGGGCATCCAATTTCGGGATACCGAGATCTCGAAATAATGAGATCGTGTTTTTTTTTTAAGATAAAAATAAAGATACATTTATTGCATAACTGTGTTATATGAGCTTAGTACAAAAACATATAGTTTTAGGCTCAACAGTTTACCCATGTCGGTTATGCAACAATTAAGAAAATAAATTTAAAATTTACTACTTACTAACATTAATTTTATTAAAAACTCATTAAGATTGTAAAAAACTTTTTCAATTAGCAATTTCTTTAATTTGTTTTAAACATATTTCCATTCTTTAATTTTGTTTTGAACATATTTCCATTTAATTGTTTAATAGCTGGTGGTAACTAATTGTAATTATTTTCAGAGTTTGGAAAATTGTTATTATTTTCAGAGTATGGACTGGATACATTGTTTAAAATATATAAGAGAATAGAATCATTTGTATTCAAGATAGATTACATGTTAATAAATAAATAAATAAATTTATTCACAAGAAATATGGTACAAAGATGTTCTTATAAAAATAATAATGATTCACATATTTCACCAATTTTGGTACATGAAAACTTATTTACTAATTAACTTATGGTTAGAATATACAAAAAATTAAGTAAAATTAAACATGCATCACTTTACAATCTTAATATTAATCGTTTAAAACACAATCAGATAAGAAACAGCATTTTACAGTCAATAGAAACGTTCTTTTATTTTTAGCAGTTCATATACCGAATAAAACTGTTTTTCTAAAAGCCACTTTAATAAATTACGTCTAAATCGATTATAATCTAATTGCCTTATTTCATTTGGGATTTTATTAAACACTTGAATAGCCATCACATAGCAATTTTTTGAATACAGGCTAGTTTTTAATGAGGTAAAATAATTTTATTTGGGTATCTGGTACTATATGTTACTGTATCTTTTAATCCAGTAAAAAACTGAGGATACTTTTTTACGAATATTGAAAGTTCAAAAATGTACATGGATGCTAGCGTAAGAACACCCAATTCTTTAAACAGTGGTTTGCAAGAAACTAGTGGTCCGACACCACAAATTGCTCGTATACAGCTTTTTGCGCTATAAAAGCACGGTTTACATCAGTCGAGTTTCCCCATAATATGAGACCATACCTTAATACAGCAGCGACATACGCATGATATGCTATTCTTTTTTTTTTATTATTCTTGTTGAAAGTCATTTTTTGCTTTTGCCCACTGGTTCGGAAAAAACTTCTGTCCTCGAAAGAACCAGCAAGAAATCCTGTGTGACTTTTTTTTTTAAACCATAACTTACAAGATAATATTTATACAATTGTTACCAAAACATTAAGAAACAGCATGGTATCGACCAGCTCATTCCCAGGGGTTATTATCAATCATGTACTATTTAGTGGTATAATAATCTTTACTAAACTATTTTTGCTTAATAAATATTTTAAACCTTTTGATAGTTAAAGCCTGCATATTTTCTGGGACTTTGTTGTTAAAGCACATTGCGCCATGAAGGATTTGCTGACTCTTTGGAGTCGAGTAACTGGTATTGCTAACTTGTGCTTGTTCCTAGTATTTACAGAATATACATCACTATTTTTAATAAAACTGTTATTGTTTTTGTGTACATACATTAAATCGCAAAAATATTGAGAGGCCAAAGTTTATATTGATATATTTATTTCTTTAATATTTTCTCTAAGGGATTCCTTCGGACCTAGGTTATGAATTGGTCTTTTTTTAAATCTTTATGCATTATGTAATACGTGGTAGAGCCATGCTGCAGTTGTATTAGAAGTATAGTTGTAGCACGAATGGGTAGGCTCAACCGGGTAGGGACCCCTCACAAATACCAGCGTGTAGCACAATGCTGCTGTATTTCGTATGGTGAGCGTAGAGAACCGGAGACCCTTTTTACTGGAAATGAGGCATTCCATCTTAGTCCTCACGGGTGACAACGCATCTGCATTTTAATTCGTAATTGAGATAGATGTAGATGTCTACGGGCCACAGCAACCACTTACCATCAGGTGGACTGAGGTGCTCGTTTGTCACCCTATCCTATAAAAAATGTCGCTCTATTTGATATCATTACGAACTAAATAACATTCAATTTAACAAGAAAAAAAATCAATAAATCTAATCAAAATGAATCATCTATCATCTCAATCAAAGAGAAAATCATCTAGTTGACTGATCTGAGGAGAATACTATGTTATACAATTTAACCAATAATTTTGTTTCATGGGAATAAGGGTTGGGTTAAATAATGTTACAATCAGCAAATTCCTTTGAAATATTTTTACACTTAGCTATTTGAAAGGCAGCATTGCGGGCACACTCCATCAAGACATGCATTAGGTCCTCGGGAACAACGCAACGTACGGTTCAGTGACGGGACTTTATTCATGAGAAAATCAAACTTCTTGGGTGGAATGTGCCCAGAACGCAGCCTCATAATCACTATTGCGTCGTCTCTTGGTAATCTGTGACTACCAATCCATGGAATTCTGAGGGGATGTGGCTGGAGCGTTTTATACCAGATAGGTTTTTCTTTAGAGCGTAAATCAAAATATTCTTTCCATAGTTTGTGTAGCATTGTTTTTTAATTAACCAAATGCAATCTGTATATAAGGGACTACATTATATTCAACTCCATCAGTAATAGCTTGTCTAGCAATGCCACAGTGTGACTTGATACACTCCACTCCACTGTTAGATAGATTTAGAATTGGAGATCAGATTTAAAATACAGTACAGGTCGGAGTGCCTCGTCGTCCAGAGGTACACCGAGCCAAGCGTTGGAGTGCGCTCTTAGAATCTGTGATTATCACTATGTTATCTTGTTGTAACGATATTGCGTAAGACAAGGCCTCACAAATTGCGATAATTTCCGCCTTCATAATGCAGGTTATGTCACTGTCTATTTTGCTAATTTTGCATTGTGGTTCATAAAATGCTGAATCAATTCCACTTCCATCCTTAGATCCATCAGTAGAGTTTATAATAAATTCATCCTATGGCTCTCTTTTGAAAAAAAAGATAGTTCCAATGTCAGTCGCATTACCTCATAGCAAGATTCCATATGACATTATGCTATGGAAATAACTAAAACATACTAATCTAACCGTTTCAACACATGTAAGGCCTCTAATCTTTTTTACAGCATATGCTGCAGAACTTAATTTGCTACCTAGTTTAGATATATATATTTTAGATATATAGTGCTTTTCTGGGAAAAGGAAACAAGGCTCAGCTCCTAAATTAAAAGCACACTGGTATTCACCTACTTAACATAAGGTGTGGTGAATTTAATACGTTTCGTTTTACTAGCGTTTAAAAGCAAATTATTGACGTTAAACCTGTGTAATACTTAACATTATTCACTTCGTCATCATTTAATAATTGCCTTTTAAGTCAGAAAATCAACAAAGTTTCATCAGCAAAAGAACTATATCATGGTTTTTCCCTACCAAGTAAGGTCATTAATATAAACTAAGAACAGATATGGGCCAAGAATTGAACCATGAGGAACACTTATAGATACTGCCGATTCGAAAGAACTGCCCCCATTAATAACAACTGTTTCCATTTTTTATTTAGATATGATGTAATAAGTTGGAGTACTATGTTTTTACACCATAATGATGTAGTTTCCTTATTAATGTCTCATGGTGAACGCAGTCGAAAGTCTTGCAAAGATCACAAAATATACCCAAATCATCCTCTGAATTCTCTCCATGCACAGAAATTATATTTAATCAGCTCAACATCGGCGTCAGTTGTCGAGCGACGCTTTGTAAAAATTGGAACAAACACTAAAACCGGTAAAGATCGCTGTAGAGGTTCTTTGCCGGCAAAAATCTTACTGCAGCAGAAACTACTTTAAAATTCATGATCAATAAATAAGAAGAAGTAAGTTTAACTTTAACGTTGGCTTCAAAGTTGGCCGTTTCATGACAAAACGTATTTTACGAAGGTTAAGCAACTGTACTGTTCTATTTATTTATCTCTAAAGCTCTGGTAAGTATTACCTCGATATACAACGAAACCTTCAGCTTCCCATCAAAAAGTGTGCTACGGAAGGAGAAGGCAGCGAATGATACAATATAAAATGATGACGACAAAAATGACGAACCGCAAGTTCTGTCTTAACCGCAAGTTTTGTCTAATTAGAACTCACTCTGGCTTCAGCTTCAAACATAAATCGTTCTCTAGTGCCTCAAGTCAATTCCATCAAGTCCAAAATTAAAAAAAAGATTACTATTTGAATCGGGAGGTTCGATGGGCAAGCATGAGACTATGACATATTATAATGTTCTTAAATCTATACCGTCTACAAATGTGGCAGCTGAAAGTGCTTTCTCTGCTGCAAGCTATATAGCAATCTGGCAGAAGAGACTGAATACTTTACGTCCTCTTCGTAAACATTTTCAACAGAAGAAGTCTTAACTTATTTTTTTCATTGTTTCAGTTCAATAGCTTATTGTAATTACAAGTAATAAATGACTGTCAAGGAAAAATTCTGATTTTTATTTTTAACATATAAATACCTCTTTTCTTTACGCAACACTCAATAGGCAACACAGTTCATGTAGTAGTTACCTACACTTGCGGGATCCCGCAAATACCGAGATTGCAAATAACGTGCGGAATTGGATGCCCTATCTATCCTATCAGAGAATAACCGTTAATAAAATAAAATGAGTTTTTGTTTACTTTTTTTTTTTCAGAAAAAAGTGCTAATTTCATTCGTAATAATTGAATAGAATTAAGCAGTGGATTTTCAGACTATAATAGATGAATCGACCTTTTTTTTAAAAAAAAAACATTAATTTAATTAAATTAAAAACATTCATATTAATTTAATTGTACCAGCCTAATACTAGTTCAGAAAATATATTTTTCCATTCGTCCTGTAGTATTCGTCCTATAGTTGTAGTCGGCTAAACATAGGTGCCCCCCCCCCCCACCTCTTCCATGTAACAAGAACATAATATATTATCTAAATTAATATAATAAAGTTAATTGTAAGCACAATATATTACAGTAAAATTTTAGTAATATCACAGAAGAACTCTTAGCGTAAGTACTTGTGAGGTCGAAAGTGTTTGAGGAAACACTGTTTTCTTTTTTACATAAAATTTCACGTTACCATGGATATTACATGTATATATTTTTCTGCAAAAATATTAATTTAATTATTTAAGTGTTCCAAAGAGAAGTTCTCGTGCTCAAATAATGCATTGGCTGGGATCCCTTCAAAATGTTTCCAGTTTATAATTACGAATATGTGTACAAAAACCAACGTCGTAACTTAAGATTTTACTTACGATGTCATATTGGGTTTGCTCATGCATGAGCGAAGTCCTTCGAGACATTTCGCTCAAAGCCATCATTTTGGCTTTGAACTCCAATTCATTGAGTGACATGGCCTCGTTTATTTCACTTTCTGTAATCACACAATATCAAAAAAGAATAAGACAAAATAAAATCGGTTAAATTATACATGCTACATAAAATTGGCACTTCGCGTAATCGACCCCCCGACCTACATTACTAATTTATCAATTTACTCACATCAATAATTGAATGCGTTATAGTCCAGTCAATGAAGATTTGACCTTAAAAAATCTTCGATACAGCTCAGATTTTGACGAAAGGTTTAATTTCCCGATAAAAAAATATTGTAATGTTCGATTTTGAATTTTTTTAATTTGAAATACTGGAGGTATGTCAAAATTTCAAGGTCTTTAGAGACATGTTATGCCGTGCATGCTTGAATGCTTACGTGCGCGCGTTCGTTCGTAAGTGCGTGCGTAAGTCCATGGATATTTTTTACCACACTTATTTCAAGAAAAGGTAATAATATCGTCGTCGGCTTGATTTAATTCGATAAGAAATTATATAATTACAAACGCGGCACCAATGAAATTATTAATGGCAATTTTAAGTGCTGATTTACGACATGCTCGGCGGTGAAGGAAAACATCGTGAGGAAACTTGCATGTGTGCGGAATAAGGAAAAAATATTTCATAGACATGTGTAGTTCTCCAACACGCATTGGGGCAGCGCGGCGGACACTTCCTTGCCCTAAAACCCTCTCAGAAATGAGCGGATGGCTGTGCCTAGCAGTGGGACGTATATAGGCTGTAACTTTACTTTACAACCGCATTATGTTTTATTAAAATCCATCTAGTAGTTTCTTGTTATGAATAAATTAGACTAATAAAATGGAGAAATAACCAAATTTCACAGTCGATAAATCTGTATGTCTGTGTATGTGTGTCATCTGTACTCATTATTATAAAGTTTGTTGTGTAGACCTTCAGAGTAGCACCCATTTTTTTTATTTCTTTTTTACACATTTTAGGCTTTTCTCACGATAACTTTGGAGATAGACATTACATTAAAGTACTTTTTCAGATTAATTGACATGTAAAGTGTACAATGCAAGTATGTGGATGAAAATGTAATACTTTGGATTTCGTGATGAGGACTGCTGCTGACTTTGATGATATAAGGGTGGCTAAAACTTTGTATAATGCGTATGTTAGGAGTAAACTGGATTATGCAGCTGCGGCCTGGAATCCTTATGAGAATAAGTATACTATTATGTTAGAGAGAATACAACGTAAATTTGCTCGTTGGCTTTATGAGAAGAGTCACGGTTACTACCCTTATTTGTATCCCTTCCCTAATCGTTCTATCGTTCTATTCAATTTAGAAAATCTAATGTTTAGGAAGGTGATGTTAGACTGCCAGTCGGTTGTGCAGAGAATCGGTTTGTTGGTGCCCCGGTATCTGCAGATAGATAATGGAGGAATGGTGGCTCCACGCCGTAGGCCGTTTCTCCTAGACCGACCAGTTACACGTACCAAACGTGCTGCCTATGCACCAACAAATCGAGCATTGATACTACATTGGGACATGCTCAATCAACACGATGAAATTGACATATTTGCAGACAGTGTGACACATATGCTGACTCTTTTTTATAAAATTATCGATAATAAGACAATTAATAATTCGACAATTTAATTTGCTTGTATAGTAAAGTAAAGTTACAGCCTATATACATTCCACTGGTGGGCACAGGCCTCCCCTCATTTCTGAGAGGGTTTTAGAGTAAGGAAGTGTCCACCGCGCTGCCCCAGTGCGTATTGGCGAACTTCACATGATTATATTCATTTATTGATAAAATATAAGCTTACAGTATATACAACCAAATCGCTTATATCTATACTAAATTTACAAAGTAAGATAAAATACACAAGAAAAAAAAATCACCAATTATTAAATATTACCATACACAATATAAATTACAGCCACAACAGTATAATGAGATCTATTTACTTTATCATAAATTAAACTTAATTATCTAAACATATACTATTCTACTATCTTACAAAGTTGTTTAAGAATATTAATACATTTTTAAACATTGCGCTGGGTTTGTCAAAAAATATATCTGCGTCTGGATTGGCCCTGAGAAAACAGTTTATTAGTCTAACGGCTCTGGAAATGAGACTGTTATCTCGTGTGCGGGGAGCGCCACGTACGCGGACAGGAGAGGAGTCTACGTTTTCGTAAAGATGTATGGTCTCACGAACTGCAGGATTATCTACTTTGTTACTTAACAAGAAATAATAGTGCATTATATGCGTAAGTTCCAGTATCCAGACCAACCATGCCCGATACAAATATTGACGGATATAGAAATGGGTAGTATCCATACTAGCGTTTATACAGATATCTTGCAAACTTACGTTGGATTTTTTCCACCATCATTGTATACATGGTTTCTCGGGGGTTCCATACTAAGGCATTATACTCTAGCTTACTTCGCACGTAGGCATTATACAGGAGTTTTATCACACGGACATTTTTAAACTGATGCGAAGTTCTAATTATGAAACCTAGACTTTTATTTGCTTCTTTGCACGTTTTAATAATATGTTCATGGAAATTCAATTTACTATCCATGATTAGGCCTAGATCGCGAATTGTATAGACACGTCCTAATGGAGTGCCTGCTAGCTGGTATGTCGTTGTGATTGGATTACGTGACCGAAAAAAAGTTAGAGTCTTACACTTTGAATTATTAAGGGGCAATTTGTTTTTTACACTCCATTCAACCACTGCGTCAATGTCCCGCTGTAATGCCATACAATTCTCAGCTCCGGTCACTGCATGGAAAAGTTTTATATCATCAGCGAACATTAAACATTTTGCCCTTAAGATATTACTGGGCAGATCGTTAATCATTATTAGAAATAGAGTTGGACCGAGCGTACTACCTTGACTCATACCCGATGACATGTCTTCGAAATAAATTTTTTTTCTTATTCCTCAGACGTGCAGATTTCCTCACTTAAAGTTCAATCAGCACTTAAAATTGCAATTAACAATTTCATTGGTGCCGGCGGGGATCGAACCCGGGTTACTCGCGTTCTGTTATATTTACAGCGAGCGTTAACCATCTGAGCTACCACGGCTCTTTTGCTAATTTGCTTGACTATGTACTATTTATTACTTTGTATATAAGATGTAATTTTAATTATGGACATATGACGGGTATAGTTTCAAAAACCGCATAGTCCATTTTTTTCAAGTAGCAACATTTTTATACGTTTAGTAACTCCATATTTTATAATACAGGTTAGTGTTTAGTTGACCGATCAAAAGTAACTTTGTTCAATAGAAATTAAAGGTCAAAATATAATGGTTGAATCAAAATCAGCAAAGTCCTAATCCAGTTATTTCAAAATCAGCATTGTCAATTCGGCCAATCAGATGCCACTGTGATATGTCAAAACAGTATGGCGTGAGCCGGTGTAAGAGTCGATTTGGTGAAGGTGCATATTAAATAAAAGTAAATAATTTAAATAGTACACGTGTAAATTTTATAGTCAAAGTGCATAAATTCCAACAATGGATAAATCACCAATAGTTGTCCAACGAATTAGAGCAAGAAAAAGACTTAGTGATAAAAATAAATGGAAAAGAAATGTGGCGAAATTAGAGCGGTAAGTTAAGTTGTATTTACTGATTTTGATCCTTACAACTTATGTACCTACTTATGTTTTGTTGATGTCGGTAAAATACAGATTCTATTTGTAAGCGCTTTTACGTGATCTTTTAATAATAACAATTATAATAAATTAGTTTATATTACATGTGTATAGATATTTATATTGAATATGTAGGTACTATGAATACTACAAAGACAAGCTTACGGGCGTACTTTTAACGAGATCGTCAGTGATCTTCTCTTGTGAAACGTAATACATTAAAGTATTCTCAAGTTTCTTATCTGTGTGTAATTTAATAATATATGTATAATGAGGTTAATAATGTTTGTTACGATATTTTTTTATAGTTTGATGTTTTTTTCAGATACTCTGCAAAGAGCTTACCAGATCGTCCAAATTGTATTCACAAAAAGACATATGAATGTAATTCATTGACAATGAGTGATTTGATCGATTTTCATACATGTTTTTACAAACATAGGGATAAACGTTCGCAAGATGCATTTATTCTTAAACACATGACAATATCAAAAGTGGCAAGGTATCGGCCTAGAAAATCCAAGTACATGGGGAGGAATTCAAATAATAAATATTATATACGTTGTAAGTCAATTAAAAAGAAAAAAAGGGTGTCAGAACACATTTATTGCTATACTGGGTATTAAAAGATACCGTGTGGAAGCAAATGCTAAAAGATTTCATAATGAAGGTGTCTTATTAGAGGAGCGTCGTGGGGGAGACCATAAGTCTCATTTATACTCAGCGAGACAGAAAGCAGTAATAGAATTTATAGTCTAAGATCCCGATATAAAACGACCTTCACCGAGATGCTTATTTAATGAAACGTATTTTATATTTAATTTAATATGTCAATAAATATAATCCATATGGGTTGCCTAGCAAATTTCAGTCCAGAGTATGTTTAATTAATAATTAAAAAAAAAATATTTTTTTAAACATTTCACCGGTATGATTATTAGATAAATTCTATACCAATCGAAAGTATGAAGCCCATAGAATATGCAAACGTTAGGTTGCCTATTCTTTTCCGGTCACAACTATAGGGTTGCCAGGTATAAACAGGTAAATCTGTACTAGCATTTTGCAACGGTCTGTTTATTGAGTGAAATTTAAATGAAATTAAAGATTATTTTATTCTGTACACGGTGGTATAGGGTTGCCTGCGAAAAATCAGTCCAGAATTGCGGTTGTCGAATTTTAAAAAGTAAAATATTGCTCCGAGTGAATGTGTCAAATCAATGTCATCAATCAATGTCAAATCAATTAATTGCTTAGGAATGTCACATTCTCCACGAATGACATCATCAGCAGTTATGTTGCGAGAAAGCGGATGAGCATCTATATTTTTAATGCAGCTTCTCAAATAATATGCTACATTTTCAAACTCATAATCAT